GGGTATCGGTGAATACGGTGTATTTCATAGGTTAATAGTAAACCACGTGGCCGAAGGCCACGTGATTTTACTATTAACCTATGAAATACACCGTATTCACCGATACCCATTAAATAACAAGAATTAACAAAATTATTACTAAAACCAAGCTCAGTTAAATATCCGAAGCTAAAAAGTTTATTAGAGTAGTTACTAAAAATAAAAATTAACGAATTAGATAAAAATAGGATCACACACGTATCGGTATACGTTATAATATAATGTACAGTAAATGATATAAAAAATTGAAATAAATTAGTATATACTAAGTGAATAATGAATAATGCATAAACGTTATGGTGACAAGCGAAGACTACTTATAAAACTATGCGCATTAATTAGCGACCTGCTAGTTTTAGAGTTGTCCGGGGCGTAGAGAAAGACAATATACTGATCTCTATACATTGGAAAATTTTGATACTCGGTTATATCTGTTTTAATCGATTAGAATCGATAATTATCATCGCTGGTGTTATTGATAATCGATTCAAATCGAAACGATTTATTATTTATCTGTAACTCGATTTTCTCTGCACATTTATGGAGGCACATTTTGTACGTATAGGGTTGTTAAAAAGCTTGTCGGACCCGGTCCTTGAGTCGACTTCACACGGACTTTTTAGGATCGACTCAAGCCTGTCCCAGACAAAGCTCCATATGCATGTCTTTGTTCTAGAAGGGCATGCATGTGATTAGATCGATTTGACCAAAATACAATACTGATTATTATTATTATATGCACGGACTCGACTCAAGGACCGAGTCCTAATTGAAGTCCCTATTTACGGAGTCAGGACCGAAAGGATCGGACTTTTAACAGCCCTATGTACGTACAGTAATGTATCTATCAATTAACATTAAATAGGATTATAATATCTTATGTGCAACAGTGATCGGATGTCAAGCCAAAGCCCGGAATCAGATGTGCGGACAATTCCTTCTATACAAATTTGCTTTTCGGCAAGAAACGATCTGAGGTACAACACCGATACAAATGTTTATTAATTTATTAAGTGAAACTATTTGAAACTTGGTTCAAGAATTTATTGAGACATTGTACGGAAATAAATTTATTTCTTTAGTTTTGATTCCTTTGATTTTGCCTTTTTTGGGTTGATACATATTATCGTTATGTTACGTATAAAAAAAATGAAAATCAGAAATTGGAAGTGAATGTGTATCACTTATATTTATATATAATAAAGAACATGTCATGTGCTTGAAAACATTTGAGTCATTTAGTACGTAAAAAATAAGTGGATTAATTGAGTTTAAGAATGTTAATAATAAAAGTTTCACAAATTACCATGTTTATTTCTCCGTATAGGTGTTTATTTCTGGGTTCGTATTAAATTGCTTATTTTTCGTTGTTATTTAACTCTAACTTTCTTGTTTATCTTCCCACGAAACAAAAAAAAAAAATAAAGAAAAATCTTCCTCTTCCCAAATCTATTTTTATAAAGATCTTGTCGATTTCTAGCATTGAAAGCCTATATAATTGTCTCTTGGTGAATAAAAACTTATGTGAGATTGTTATACCAATACTTTGGGAAGCACCTTTTGAATATCTATATGATAAACTTTTACCAGATTGGAGAAAAGTATCAGCACTTACTCAAGTTTACATTTCTTGTTTATCTAATGGAACCAAATCCAACTTGGAGAAATCAGGAATAAATAAAAAATTAACAATAATTCCACCTCCAACATTCAACTACGTTTTATTCTTAAAAAGCCTTGATTACAGATTAATTTTTGATAGCGTTGTGGTTTGGTTAAATGAATCTGATAAAACTGCACAACGTTCAACTAATCAACATTATTTAATTGTAAATGAATTATTTAAATTATTTTTTAAAAATATTAAATACCTTGAATCATTCATATGTAAATTTCGACCAAATTTGATAAATCACAAGTTATTCCCTAATTATATAACTTTATCAAATCTTCCTGGTGCTCAAAACCATTTTTCATCTTTAAACCGGTTTATAATAAGAGACATTATTCCAACAGAATGGTGTAATGATATTATTCAAAAAGCTCGAAAAATTAAAGAGATTGAGGTTGATTTATCTGAATGTTATGAAGATGATGAAATGATTGCAAAATTAATACTTGGTCAACCTAATTTATCCAAGATATCCATTTCATCTAGACAAAAACTTCCTTATATTTCTGATGCTTTAAAACATATAGCAAAATCCTTAAATACTATTCATATCTTTCCCACTATTTCGGTAAATCTTAAAGGATTATCTGAATGTTCAAATCTTGTTGAATTAAAATTATCATCTGAAGAATTTATTTCAAAAGCCATATTTGAATGTTTCGTTTATTCTAAGTTTTCTCAACTTAGGAAATTACATCTTAATTTCAACAATTTATATTTGGATCAAATATCAACATTAATTGGAAACACTCGCTCATTACAAGAGATTTATTTAAAATTTGATTTTATTCAAGGTTTAAAACATTCTGCAGATTTTATCAATGCTATCGCTGATAATTGTCCAAATCTTATTAATCTTCAAGCATTAATTCCGGATGATGAAATTTCTCGACTTCCAAATCTTTTTGAATCTTGTAAAAAACTTGAAAATGTAGTATGTCTTGATGGGAATTGTAAATATATGAATTTAATTGATATTAGCGAAACTTTATTAGAAATGGGAAATGCTTTACAACCGAATTTGCGTAGATTTACTACAAGATCTTGTTGGACATTTTCATCTGAAGCGTTGAATTCATTCCTCGAAAATTATGAAAAGAAACGATGTAACAAATACCAAAAATTGGAATTGAAAATTGAAACTAATAATAATGATGATCGAATTCCAATTATTGAAAAGTTTGGAAGGAAAGGTGTCCTAAGTATTAATAATTGGAAAAATAAATTCAAAGAATATCATAATAATAATTTTATTAGTTCAAGCATGTTCGTTCAATACGTTTGTTTTTTATTCTATTTGAATTCTTCTATTTAAAAAAAAAAATGTCTTACTTTATTGGTTTTTTTTTTTTTTTTTTGTAGTGGGCTTGAAGATTCGTGGTCATCGGAACACGACTGGGTTATCTTGTCATGTGAAGACGAAGTAAGTCGTTTCTTCATAAAACCACATTTGCTTAATTTAATTCATTCAAACAATAGTACGTATTCCTAATTTATTTTACGTATCAACTTTCATTTTAATATAGTTCATATATGTCGATCAACGTAATTTACCTGGTATATGAATGCGTGAGAGTGAAAACCTGGAAGTGGATTTTTATTGGCGAGTTTGACCCCTGATAATTGTATTATTACGTAATTCA